GGGGGGGCGTCCCCGCGGGGCTGAGGAGGCTGCCATTACTCACAGCGCAAACAAACGGAGTCCACAGAGACTGGCGCCGTGACGCGGCTCTCCCGCCCCGTCTTTGTCGTATTGGGTTATCATGTGAATATAAGCGCCGACGTACAAATTGGGCGGGATATCGGGTCTCTTATTGTTTGACATGCCAAAAAAAACCCCGCGTCGGACAGCGAAAAATGAATTGGAAATTCGAGCTCTACACTGTTAAACATGAACGGACACTTTGACTTGTAATGCTATCTTGGGGGGTGGGCGGCAATTTTCAGCTTTTCTGTTCCCTCTTTTTTATTTAAACGTCGACTTTTGGCCTCTTTGACGGCAGAACTTGCGAGTTCTTAAAAGCACACAAATCTGTCGTTTTTAAAACGTAAAATTAAATTTTAACAAGTTTGTTTTTAAGTCTTTAGAGGCGAGACCTGAAAGCCGAGAGTCTAATTGATGAAATGCCTCAAGGCGTATGAAGACACGAACGCGTATACTTTTAAGTAACGGCAGTCGTGCAGGATTTGACTATAGCTCCTTAGGAAAATATTTTCGGATGCCTCAAACAAGAGAAGAGTCTCAACCTCGCCGAGGGGCACGAGCCTTTTCATTTATTTTCCGTGGGGAAGGGAGGGGGGGATCTTCAGAGAAGAAATAAGCGTGATGTGTCTGTTCGCAGAGTTGACCCAATTTGAAAGAAAAGGCCACATCATTTCACGAAATTAAATATCCTTTCTTCCCCGTGTGGAAGCGACTTTGTGGACCCGGACCGCGAGGACAGGCAGCGGGCGTGAGGAAGAGAAATGGCGTGCAGATCCTTCGAGGCGTTCTCAAAAAGTTTTCATGCTAGGCAGAGTCATAACGAACTTTCGACCGTCAAAAGTAGCGTAGTTAAATTTTCGCGGACAGTTATTTTTTTCAGTCACCTCCATTCCTTACTTTCCCCACCCTGCCATCATTTTGACACTTATCTTGAACGACCTGGCCACAAAGAGTCTGACCTTACTCCCATTCCAGCTGGACACAAGGAAAAGTGCCTTCCAAACCACAAGGAAGAATCGAATAAAGCAAACCAAAAGAACTCGTGATTTAATCTGTGTGAATTACCTCCAATTACTTCGCAGACCAAGTTGACAAGTGCGCCCTCGTTGTATGGCTCCAAGACTTTGGTCCTATCTCTCCTCTTGGAGTCGTAGATGACTGGTTTCTCCGGAAGCACTGGAACAGAAAGACAAAGACGATCAGATAAGTTCACATACGTGGATACATTTGCACTGTTAAGGGCAGGCTCTGCGCCGGTTGCATGAACAGAAAGAACGGGTTCAGGACATTTTCCAGTAGCTCATGCTTTTGACGATCCGTCCAGTAGTCCTAGGTCGGCATTGGGACCCCTAGCTCCTTCCACTCCACCTCTCACCTCCCGCAATCCCGCTTCCCAACGCCTTGCAAACCTCTGCGCGATCCCCGGGGTGCGGCCCGGGGCCGGGGGGCATGGCGCTGCACTGGAGCGAGCCGAGAAAGTTTGACATATCTGCTAAACCGATCTGTCAATCACACTGAGTGATCACGGGGTCCCACCTCGACGGGCGCCGCGCCCCGCCCCGCCCCGCCCCGCC